TTCTATTCATTGAAGGGATCGTGTCCTTATCCTAGCGTCAGCAAGGGGAAGGAAGGGTGGGAACCTGGCTTCGCAATTAGTATAAACAAGGAAGCGAAATTGTTGAAAAAACATTAAGCTTACATCAATTTTCTTGCTTTACAACTGAATTTGTCATTGACTTCGTGGGCTGATGGCATATATCGGAATCTTCTGACTTGGCTTCGTGGGTTGATGACATGTAACGGATATCTTCTGGCTTGAGGATGTCTGATATTTTTGAACTCAAACGAAGTTTGGCAAAAAGTTTTCATGTTCAGTGGATTGAACCAGATATGATATGTTCTTGTTCACTTTCCTAGCACTGTGCTTCTTGTATAATTCAGTATTCAGTACCACTTAAAAAAGAATTATTTTTTATAAGTTTCTTATAAATTGACTTTCAACTTTGGGCTGGTTTTTATTTTGTAACTAGCATGGATGTTGTAGTAGATAAATTTATAAAATATGTTTAATTTTAAAAAATTAAGTTAAGTAAATCAATATTTTGTGAAATTTTTTTAAATTGAATATGTGTTTTTTTTTAATATTTAATGAATAAACCCATGACTATTAATTAAAAACACTCATTACTCTCAATTTGATTTTTTATTTTTGTTATTGTTATTTTGCATCAGCATAATTCTAAATAATAATAAAAAATAACATCTAAGAATCATTATTATTCTTTGAAGAAAGTCATGCTTTTAGCAATTAATTATTATTTTTTATGAGTTTGCAATTATTTTTCATTCTAATTTTGAAAAAAAAGAGTCAAAATCATAAAAAAAATAATTATTTTGTGTGAGGGTGTATGAAAAATAAATTAATTATTTGTGAAAAACATGAAAAAAGAAAAGAAAAATGATGTTGATTTCTGAAATGCCCTTGAAGCGACCTTTTTAAAAAATACCAAGTTATTACGTTTACACATCAAAAACCAAAACCAAATTGGATGTAAAATAAATAATATCCTGATTGCAGGGAAATTTTTAGTATTTTCATGAAACAGTCTTATAAGTTAAATTTTAAAAATTCTTGACTCAATTTATTATTTGGTTCAGATTTTAAATTAAATAATATAAAAATTAATTTAATATAATATAATTAACTTAACAAATTCAAAATAAAAATCAAAGGATAAAACAATAATATATATATATATATATATATAATTTTACTTTAAAAAAATCAATATGAGATTCTTTTAAAACATTTAGAAGTTAACATTTTAAATTGCCTCATATAACTCAAAGTTAATTGTTAAACCCGTTATCCAGATTATAGAAATAATTGGATTTAATAATGTTTATTTTTTAATTATATAATAAAAATAATATAAATATTAATTCAAAATTAATTAAATATCAAATAAAAAACCAATAAAAAATCAATGTAAAAAAAAAAATCAGATTAAGCATGAGTTCCAAGTGTCCTAACAAGTATCAGCCTTAAAACAAAAACCTAGAAATATGGGTTTCAAGTAAGTCTGCTCATCTCAACAGTTTTTTTTTTTTTTTAAGAAGCATCCCTTATTAAATAAATAAATAGGTAATGTATTACCCACCTGTGGATAGCCCAAAATCTAACCATTATTATGATAACTGTAAAATTAGGTTTGAGTTTTGAGTTGAAAATCTATTTTTCAATTTATTTTCACTTCAAAGCATGCTATAAAAACAATATAAATTATCTAACAACCCAAAATATCTCAAAAAAATAAAAATTAATTGAATTCTAAAAATCTAACCAAATTTGCCTATTTTGCTAGAGAAAAAAATTACAACCATCAAACTCATGTTGCCAGATGGAATTCTTTGATGCTAGACTTGGCTATGAATTAATATATTTTGTACCAAAATGAATATTTTGTGATTTTTGAGTGACTAATATATTTTCTTTGTATTTTATTTTTTAGTCTTCTAATATATAATTTGGTAACTTTACTAACATCCCAAACCTAATTTTATCCAATTAGGTTATATAAAGACGTAATTGAAAGAGGAAAAAAAGTTGGAAGACTAGAAAATAAAAAAAATCTATGAAAGAATATAATTGAAAAAAAAAATAAAAAAAAAAAGAGCTTCGCAGTTCATGTACGAGCATGAAGCCCCATGAAATTTCTCATTGTGTTAGTACAGTAGGATAATCTAAAATGTCCTTGTAGCCGGCAGCAAATGGGGCTGATTTCGATATTCATTAATTGGGTTTTGGATGCCTAACAACCATTCAAGCAAAGACCGAAAATTATTGCTAGTTTATCAAATTCAAATATTAAATTATCCTGTAAATTAAACTATATATTATTCCACATTTAATAAGGGAAAAGACCTAATTGTTTTGTTTGAGAATTGGGAAGTTTGACATGGATCTTATACGAAAGGCCCACGTTTATACATCCTTAACTCAGTCGACACTGCCAAACACCAATGACAATCTCCCACATCTCTTGTAATTTTTGTTTGGGTGGATTTTGACTTGGTGTTTTAAGCGGTGACTGCCATAGAATATTAGCAAGGGTGTCATCGAAGATAATGTTCAGTTTCTTCAAACATGTAAATGTAGCGAATATGGTCAATTTAAAATATTTTAGGAGTATTTTAGGAGTTTGAAGGATAGATATTATATTTCTGATCAGCGAGTGAAAAATTTATAATTAATCTTATTAAAAGTGTTAATTGATAATTTGTTATATGTATTTTTGGACGTCACACTCAGATATGTAGGCTCGTGTTATTAGAAATAAAATCGTGAGGATAATAAGACCTAAAATGAACAAGTTATATTGAGCTATTATATTTGGTATCAGAACTGATTTCATTGGTTGTTCGGTTGTGCCGACAGGGTTATCGAACTCTTTAAAGGGATGAATTATTATATCTCACATCGATGATAAGGAATTGATGGCTGACCTTATTAAAAGTACTGGTTGTTACTTTGTCATATGTGTTTTCGGGCATTAGGCTCAGATGTAGGCTCATATCACCAGAAACAAAACTATAAGAACGATAAGATCCAAAACGGATAATATATAATAAGTTAGGTTGGACTATTTTAATAAATTTAGAATTATTTAGGATTTATATAAATATCATGTAAAGATCATATGTTACTTTTCTTGAAATATTTAAAGTACTATAAACTTGGTATAAAACAAAGAAATTAAATTCTTGGTTTTCCTTATAAAGTTGGTATTTTCTAATTTTAACTTTTACGTGCTCGAGTCATTTTTGCAAATAAATATCAGTTTTTTTCCAAGTAAAGTGTTAGATAGATATTTTACGTTTAAATTAATATATTTAAAAGAAAATTCTTTTTTTTCTTTTTAACATTTTAAAAATTTAAATCTTATACAGTAATATGAAAACAAATATATTTTCATTAAAGCCAACGCCTAGAAGTCCAAGACAATAATACCATGACATGCAGAAGTGCAAACCTCCCCAATCTTTAAATATTGGTTATGGGAACGGAAGGAAGAACTTAGATTTTAATTATTTTATTCCAATCCTAAATAAAAAAAATGCAGAGGAATAAGCAATATTTTCATTTGGTGTTGTTTTTATTAAATAATTATTCAGATAATTTAAAATAGCGAGATTATTATTATTATTATTATATATATATATATAAAAGCTTCATCGATTGGATCAAGTGATGTTTTGTTTACATATATTTACATCTTTTAAAATACCACAAAAAAAAAAACCAAACACACACACTCCAATTTTACAAATTTTCTTTGTTGGGGTGGGAACCATAAGCCTGACCTATCTTGGCTTGAAACTACAAGCAAGAACAAAAAAATAAAAAAAATACAGAAGCCATAGCTTTTATCATTAGCTCACCAACTTACAAATCTTAGTTTTGAAGGTACCACCATAAACACCACCAAAAGATAAAAAAAACTACCAAGATGAAGATAATCACATACTCTATCTAGCTAGCAAAGTTATTAAATTTTGGTTTTTTTTCATCATGTAGTTGATTTTTATTTCTGTTTTTTAAAAATATTTATTTTTTATTTTTTATTTACTTCAAAATAATTTTTTTAATATTTTTAGATCGTTTTAATATATTGATATCAAAAATAATTGTAAAAAAATAATAAAATATTATTTTAATGTATTTCTAAAAACAAACTTTTAAAAATAATTATTATTACATTCTCAAGTATACTCAACTTAAAAGTTTGATAGTAACTTAAATTAATTTGTTTCAGCTTTTTTTTATATATAAAATAACAATTTAAAGTCTAATAGAGTTTTGAAGAGATTAACTGAATCAATTCCATATTATTTTTTTAATTTGGTTCATGTAAGGGGCCAGGTAGGCCAATCCCAGTTTAATCCAACGAGATACTATAGGTTTTATAACTATAATAATTAACTTTGAGTTGTTTATATGATTCTGGATTAGAAAAACCCACATTCGGACAACCTGGCAAGCGAGGTTGTTGAATTCTGACAGGGAGAAAGAGATCTGGCAAGAATTGAAAGATAAAAAAAAACTAGAAATAAACCGTTCTGTGCATGTTATTAAGATATGGCGTTGAGGGCTGACTTGTTTTTTAAATTACTCCATTGTTATCTATGTTCTGAATGCTACCTTCTACTTGTAATATTTTTTATTTTGTTTTAGTTTTCAAAGCCAACTGTAACCACTTCTATGTTCTTGTGCATTATTTTGGACATGCACACGAGGATCAATTATTACAATTCACATTGCTGTAATAATTGAATAATTACTTAATTAAATCTGCCTTATTTGTTTGTCCAATTATATTATTTTCTTTTTTCTTTCCTTATAAATCACACTGGCTATATTTATTTATTTATTTTTGTTTATCACCACCATTACTATGAACAGCTAAGATGGTAACGGGTCCAAGTCTCAGACGCGCTGTGGTTGATTTCCCTCAAAGAAAAGATCGTCTCTTTGAAAAGAAAAATAAACTCTTGTTTTTAATTTTTGAATTTTTTTTAGCTTTAAATTCAAAAAGAAAATGAAAACTATTCTATCCATCCATCCCTCATTCCCTCGGACTACATGTGAAGCAGAGAAAGACGACTGCTCTTCTTGAGTTGCCCCCACGTTCTATGCATAATTTGTGGGCAGACACACCTCCATTTACAAGAAAAGAAGAGAGAGAGCACTGCCCTGAAAAAAACACCACTAGAATTCAAAGTTTGCAACTTGGAAGAAACAAAAGTGCCATAGAAAATCTTCCTTTTGAAAGAGATAGGTAAGACATTCTTTAGCTTTTCTCTTCTGGGTCTTCTTTCTTGTCGTTTTGGTGACCTGGGTAATGCTGCATTTGCCCATTAAAACGGGAAGACAATAATAGTTTTGGAGCCTAACTGGCCTAGTTGATCTCATTTTCTGTTCAAGACTTGTAGTTTTTTTGTATCTGGGGTTTGCTCATTGGGGACCTTTGAGAACCGGGTTTTGCTTGCTTTTTGCTAATTTATTAGGTTCTTTGAGTTGTGTCTGGGAGTTAGAGGATCTAGGTGTTCCCAGTGAAGAAGACTTTTGCTTGAATTTTTGTATCCGGTTTTGTGTATTTTTGTCAATTGCTGAAGAGTCTGGGCATCTGGCAGTGGAAGAGTTGACAAAGCTCGAGTCTTTTGTATATTTTGGAGTATTGTAACTAACAGTTGATGTTTGTGTGATGAGCAGTTTGAGATATAGGTTTCAGTTATTAGATATGGATTTGTAAGAGATTTAGGCATATTGTTAGATAAAAACATGGCTTCCCTAACACCTTCACCAGACTCTCCCCCCTCTCCAATACCAATCTCCACTTCACCACCATCTCCACCGTCAACACCGGATTCCACCACCAGTTCACCCCCTCCCTCAACATCTCAGCCTGATCAGACCACTGACCCCCCAGTGCCTTCAACACCATCTACCCCTGCAACCCCACCTCCTCAATCCCCACCACCAGCACCACCCGCTGCTTCCCCTCCAGCTCCACCACCACCATCACCAATAATTCCCTCAACACCTCCACCATCTGCCCCACCACCATCACCCCCGGCATCTCCACCACCGGCCCCTCCAGCTTTAACCCCGCCATCACCACCTACTGCGCCTCCCCCAGCTTCTACCACTGCACCACCCCCTCCACCACCGATAAGCACCTCCCCTCCTCCACGTGCCTCTCCAACGACTCCTGTAACCTCCCCACCTCCCCCTCAAGCTGTCTCCCCTTCTCCACCTCCTCCTGCAAATGACCCTATACCCCCTGCCACTAATTCGCCTCCTCCTCCAACAGAAAAGCCGCCTGAAAGCCCCCCTGCGCTTCCAACAGTTCCTCCTCCACCACCTAGTTCTCAATCTGATAGTCCTCCACCTTCTCCTCCTCCTCCAATATCCACATTGCCATCGCCGCCCCCATCAATTCCCTCGACCTCATCAACACCTCCTGCAATATCTCCTCCTGCTCCTCCAGTCAATTCATCAGTGACGGGAAGTCCTACCCCACCCATTCCTGCTATTCCAACAGAGAAACCAACTGCAAGAGCAACCAATGGAACTGACGTCTCCACAAATACCTCATCCGCTGGTCCAAGGGGATTAAACAATGGAGGTGCAGTCGCAATAGGCATTGTGGCTGGGTTTGTAGTACTCAGTCTTCTAGTTGTGGCCGTATGGTTTGCACAAAAGCGAAAGAGAAGACAAGGAGAAAATGTTGGTTACACTATCCCTTCGCCATTTGCCTCCTCACAAAATTCAGGTAATTTATTGAATATTGCTCTATTGTAATCAGTCTCGCAGTACTGACTCTCTGAATTTTTCATTGCTGAAGCAGCTATGGTGTTGTTTCTAAAAGCCCTTAGAGTTAGTAATTGTCTTACAAATGAGAATATGGATCATGGTTACTGGATGCAGAAGTAAAATCTTTTTTGTTGGGAGTGTTAAAGCCTTGTGATAGGATATGTGTCAATCAGTGTAAAAAGTTGATACTTCTCTGTTAACACAATCCCTTTGGAAGGCATTTTAGAAATCTACTGTCATAGGTTCCCCTGTTTAGAGATATGAATTGATATTAGATACTTAATTGGTGATTGATAGCACTTCTAATGCGTTGATCAATGCTGTTGACATCAAGTAATTTAACAACTCAAGTAAACTTTATATGGCCTACGCAAAGTACTTTGGGGCCGTAAAACAAGTACTGGAGGCTGGATCGTATCCAAGCCATCTGGATTAGCTTCACAATTGCTTTTCTTCTGATCATTTAGACAGCGTCATATTTGAACCATAGTCACTTTTTCTTTCATGGTCTTGGTTTCTTCTCGTATATTTATTTTATCTGATGACTGGCTTGTCATTTTGGAGCGCGTGCACTTGATCCAGAACAATCTACTAGTTCATTTTCTGGTTTCCCTATCCTATTGATGATTTAGTTTACATATTGGAGCATAATATGTCATTTCGTTTCTTTTTATCTTCTGTTTTCCAAAGAGTGTCTATGTCAAATATCCTTTTCAACTTCATTTTCTTCAAATTTTTTAATTTTCTTTTCTCATTGAATGACATTCCGAGGCTATGCTCTTAAGCTGTCCAGCAGGAATATTTAAATGCTTATTGAGACATGACTGGAATTAATGAAAGTTTTGCTTTGCAGATTCAGTATTTCTAAAACCTTATCCTCCAGCTCCCCTGGTTGGCAGTCCTTCTGGCAATGATTTCATGTATTCACCATCGGAGGCAGGTGTAGTAAATAATTCAAGGCAATGGTTCACATATGAAGAACTAGTCCAAGCCACAAATGGGTTTTCAGCACAGAATCGTCTAGGTGAAGGTGGATTTGGTTGTGTATACAAAGGTGTCCTTGTAGATGGAAGAGATGTTGCAGTAAAACAATTAAAGATTGGTGGTTCTCAGGGGGAGCGTGAATTCAGAGCAGAGGTTGAGATTATTAGTAGAGTGCATCATCGGCATTTGGTTTCATTGGTGGGTTACTGTATATCTGAGCATCAAAGACTGCTTGTCTATGACTACCTTCCCAATGATACTCTTTATTACCATTTGCACGGTAAGTTTGTAGTTTACAATATGAGAAATTCACTTTTGCTAATGTCCTCCATGAATGCTTTATCTTCACACATATGACATGACACATATTTCTTCTAATTTATCCAATCATATTGGACTTTTCACTGCAAATCTTTTAAAATATGTCCTATGCCTTCACAGGTTTTTTTTAATCAGCTGCTGAATTATGATTCTGGTGGTGATCAAAGTATAATAGCTGTAAATAGGTTTTACAGAAACGGTTATGTGAGATATTGCTGTTTTGGTTGCAACAGGCTAGTATAATTACTTTGCTTTGTCGATTTAAATTAAGATATGGACAAGAAGCTGGTTTTATATGTTTTTTGCTGGCTTGGACTATTACCAATCTATTGATATTTGCCAATTTGTTTCTCTTTATCATAGTCCATCAATGATAGTACAAGTTTCATTTTAATTATTTCTGGCTTTTCCTTTTCTGTTCTTGCAACGTCACCATTCTTCATGTTTGAAGTTACACTGCAAATAGCTCCCTTGTAAAATTGGCAATGTCTTGTATTTCCTGAATTCTTATAGATCCTTGCAGGTGAAGGCAGACCATTTATGGATTGGGCAACAAGGGTCAGGGTTGCTGCTGGTGCAGCTCGTGGCATAGCTTATCTGCATGAAGATTGTAATTTTCCCATTTTTCTTGGACTTTACAATTTATACTTCCAAACCTTTTTTAGCTCACTGCATTGACAACTGGCATAAATGATTTGAGTCCTGGAACTGGAGGCTTTGTCTTTCCTTTTCAAATTTTGACATACAAGTGCCAGTTATAATTTCTTCACCGTTAGTTAATCATGTGTAAATCCAAGATGCATTCTAGAACAATTTGATAATATGCTAACAACCTTATTGAGTAATTTGAATAAGAAGCAGAATTAACATATTGACAACATCCATGCTTCAACCAGGAAATATTATAGCATGTACTGTCTTCATCACACAAGTTACATATCACTCATACTTGCATAAATGTGCCACTCCTTCACTCTGTTCTCCTCCCTATCTCACATCTGTTTCTATTTGCATGTTTGCAACATATATTGAAACATTTTGATCTCATTTCTTTTGTGTTGTGTATCAGGCCATCCACGCATTATTCACAGGGATATCAAGTCATCTAACATCCTTCTTGATGAAAATTTTGAAGCTCGGGTATGTCTGTTTCTGTAAATCCTAATATCACTAAGAACCGTGTTTTACTCTAGGGAAAGTAACCCTATGGCCAATTACTTATGCCATCACAATGCTTATGGAATATTTTATTCCTTTGTCGAGTAAACAATCTTCTTCGCATTATTGTACTTGTAATATGTTCTATTTCTTTGCACTTGGAACATGTTTTTGTTTCTTCTGTTTCTATGATAGATTCTTCAAATTTCAATCTCTTTATCAAGCAGTTTTTTTCTATCAGGTTTCAGATTTTGGGCTTGCTAAGATAGCGCTGGAACTGGATTCGAATACTCATGTATCCACACGTGTAATGGGAACCTTTGGGTGTGTGCCCCAAGTACTTATTTCTTTAACATTTATTGTGATGCTTATTTATAATGGTAAAGCTAGTGTCATGGAAAGCAATTTGGTAAGAAAAGAGAGCTAAATATAATGTGTTTTTCTTTTGAGTGAAAGGAAGCTAACTATGCTTAAATGGTGAGTAGCGTTATTTTCTCTTACCTGTATGATTGCATTTGTAGCAAAGGGTGGTTGTAAGCTGTGCATGCTTGGAGTTTAGATGACAATTTTGTAACGACATATTTTGTTAGTGGCATAGCACATGTAAAATTTGTAATTTTGATGTCTTGTTAATGTGTGCCCCAACTTTCTTATTTTAATTACTCTTTTGAATGGAACATTGTTTTTCCAGGTACATGGCTCCAGAGTATGCAACAAGCGGAAAGTTGACTGAAAAATCTGATGTTTATTCCTATGGGGTTGTGCTGTTGGAGCTAATTACAGGCCGTAAGCCTGTGGATGCCTCTCAGCCACTGGGTGATGAAAGCCTTGTTGAATGGGTAAGTTCCATAACCATTCCAACTCATTACCTACTTGATACTATATGTTCGAGGTGTACAGATATTTTATGGTTTCTTTTGGTTGGTAAAATGTTGGGGACGTTCAATTCTTTCTCTAGAACTTTCTTTCCTAGTTTAAATTTCTTGGAACGTCACATTTCATCTTTTAATTAGTAAAGCATTGTACAAGCTCATAATTTCTGCAGTGGCACAAGATCAAATTTTCATTAGCTCAACCATGTTTGCAATTTTGCTGTGTCTAATTTCGAAGTATTGATGTGAACTTTAACTGCCTGTGAGCTGTAATCTGGCTTCAAAGTTTTTCAAACTCATCTGGCTCCAAAAATTTAACTTCCTGCTTCGAGAATGCTTTTTAGGGCACATAATTTCTGTTAATCCAGCAGTTTTAGAACCGTGGAAAATATTGACAACTTATAGCATAAGTTAATCATGCACGTGGGCTACTACAAGTCTGCAGGTTGTGTTCATAGGTGCTTTGTTTCAGCTTGCAAGTTTTTGTCATCTATGAGACGTGGAAACCTTTGACCTGATGAATAGTGTCATTTGTAACATTAACTACCTGCTAAACTTCTATTTGAATAATCCAAATTCAAACTTGTTTTCAGGCTCGGCCATTGCTTACCAGTGCAATTGAAAATGAAGACTTTGAAGCATTGGCTGATTCAGGGCTGGAGAAGAACTATGTTCCAAGTGAAATGTTTCGGATGATTGAGGCAGCTGCAGCTTGTGTGCGTCATTCAGCTGCAAAAAGGCCGCGGATGAGTCAGGTAATCATGTATTTGTGCTCTATATTTTCCTTTTTCCTTCACCATATTAGGCAATCCTAGTTAAAAGTGTTGCTGTTTTTTTTGCCATTTTTAGGTGGTGAGAGCCTTGGACTTGTTAGATGAGTCATCGGATCTATCTAATGGAATGAAACCTGGTCAAAGTGAAATATTTGATTCAAGACAACACTCTGCGCAAATCAGAATGTTTCAGAGGTTGGCATTTGGTAGCCAAGAGTATAGTTCAGAATTTTTTGATCGCACTCAGAGTAGCTGGAGGAGTAGAGATCATGGGGATTCTGTTTAATCCTCAAATTCTTTGCCGTGCCGAAACTCATGTTAATCCTACATTTCCATTTAACATGGAATTTGGTAACAGCTGATTTGGAAAGACAGCACTCGGTCTTGGATTTTGAGACCCTTGATTGAGATCTCATTCAATTTTAGCTAGAGTTGCTATTACCTATTCATGTACAATATCTTCCCTTTACTAGAATTGTTTTCCTTGTTAACAAACACGATTTCGCCTGTATGGCTGCCTCATTCTGTATTCTTTATGGCTTAAATTCATTTATAGAGTCCATATTGGTATTTATATATATTAGAGCAGTGAAAATCCCCTTTCCACTCCAGCTGAGTCATGCAGGCACGCAACCTGTGTTCCTCTACTTTTCGTTTATTGACAGGAACTTTTGTTCACAATTTAGGACCTACATCAGTTTGCTCGAAACATAATGATTAGGTGATGCCCAGTGATGTTCACACTTCACTGGCATTTAATAGGATATAAATTCCTGTTAGAAAAGTTGTTCCCCCAGTATGCGGTCATTATTTGAACAATGAAGCCATTTTCAACCCTCCATAATTACACTACCTGTATAATTTTCTTCCTTGGTAATTCATGAGTGAGCTTGAAGCTTGGCAGTATCTGGCTTTTTAGCCTATTGGATGGTGTCATGGTGCCATCTGTAGTCTTCGCTTCATAGAATAACATTAAAATTGGTCTGCTTTGAGTCAGAAAGACTATCCTATCTACCCTCGTGGCTCGTGTATTGCCATCTACCCCGTCCAAGCATTTTCATAACCACCTACCAGCCCTTTTGCTGAGATGCCATGCACACGGAAGATATCTAGGGAGGGAGGGAGGGTGGGAGAAGGATGGAAGAAATGTTGTTGTCAAAACCTTCACTGGTGCCAGCCTTCTGCTGGGAGGAAGGAAAACCTTGTATTGGGAAAAAAATCATCTCTAGCTTGAAAGCAGGAGAGAATAAACTGGTTTGTGTGACAGATGGGAATTCATTCTTGGGTTCTCATATAGTCAAAGAGCTCCTTTCTCGTGGCCACCTTGTTCGCGTCACTGTTCATAACCAAGGTCAGTACTAAGTTCACAGTTTCTAGGGCAGATGTAACTGCACTTGTACAGAAATGGATTGTAGAAGAACATTTTCTTCTTTACATGTCACAGCTGAAACGGATTCAGTTGGATCGGCATCCTGGCTTGTAGTTTTCCACTAACCAGTACTAACCGTGTATGTTTGAACCATGGTTGGTTTTTTTATTAGCAGTGGATTTTGAGGACTTGAAAGGGCTGATCAAAGAAGAAGACATGAATAAACTAGAGAGTGTTGTTGTAGCAAAGATGAAAGACCTGGACAGTCTTTGTGATGCTTTTAGTGGTTGCCATGCAGTTTTCCACACCTCCTCCTTCGTTGATCCACATGGGATCTCAGGTTACTCAGTAAGTTACTGCAGTAACACGGAAACATGTTTTAATGTCAATCTAGCCCGAATTTGAAGATTTTGCATGTGATTTATGAACTTCGAAGGAAAAATAAATGTTAAACTCCAAAAGCTTTTCAGACACAGTAAAATTAGAATAATTTCCGCCTCCAAATGCTAGTCATTATTTCTTACAATTGTTTACTTTTTGCATTCTACTTTGTAGGAACAAATGGCATTTCTTGAAACTGAGGGTGCAAGGAATGTTATTGAAGCATGTGGTAGGGCAGCATACAGAAGAAGATGCATCTTCACTTCTTCTCTTCTTGCTTCCATTTGGACTTCTTCCAATTTAGACAGGGTTATTGATGAGAGTTGTTGGAGCAGTGAGGAATTTTGCAGAGAAAACAAGGTACTCAAATTCATTGCATACGAAAGTTTCCTGTTCTGCTATTGTTCATGACAATATATCAGAAAGTTCCTTGGCACGACCATTATGTTACTTGATCATTACTCAATCTCTATGGATTTTCAAAATGGAAAACAGCTTTGGCTTGCATTAGGTAAGATGAGAGCGGAAAAGATTGCTTGGAGGAAGTCAAAGGAAATGAAAGTGAAACTTGTAACTGTTTGCCCTGGCCTTCTCATAGATTCATTGATCCCCCATGATCACAAAGAAAGCTCTTTTCCATATCTTAAAGGTAAGAACAACATTTAGTTCTTAATTTTTTGTTCCACTGAGCTTAAGTTTGAAACCAAGGTTCTAAAAAGAAAGAACATCTAGAGCATCGAGCATTAATAGCTCTTGCTCTTCATAGTATTTAATTGGATTTTGTTCACTATACCAAACTTAACGTATAAAACTCATGGATAGGTGGTTCGATCATGCTCCGACAAGGTCTACTAGCTTTAGCAGATGTAGGGAAGGTGGCAGAAGCACATGTACGTGTTTATGAAGATATGGACAATGGAGCTCACGGACGATATCTTTGCTTTGAAAGAGTGGTACAAAGGTTGGATGAAGCCATTCAACTTGAAAATGAGTTGAAGATGCAAGGTCTATTGTCAGCAGGGACAAGTAGAATCATATCAGAAGAAATACAAAGCAATCTTAGCAATTCAAAGCTTAACAGATTGTTATTTGCCCCTCGCATGTCTTGCAATCAATGAAACACCAATCCACCATTTTCTATTTACATGTTGTGGAATCCAGGTGCCAAAGCAATAAAAAATGAACATGAAATTACTTTTCTACCAGTACAGGAATTTAATGGCTGGCTGTTGTTAGATGTTAAATCTCAAGCATGGTCTTGTCTCCCATTGAGACCTCATGGCAAAATCCATCGCTTCCCACAGAAAATGAGGAGTCACTTAAACAATCACTTGCATGATCGATGAACCATTCTTTGTTGATCTAAAAGGAAAACACCAGTTGGTTTTAAAGCCCAGAAAGTAACAGGGAAGGCAGCTCAGGAAGCTGATCTAAGCCAAGTCCAAAATTAATATTTCCCGCTTGAAACGCAGTTCTTAGAGCATTTTTCACACCCAGGAAATTCAACTTCTTTTTTATTTTATTTTTATCATGGCAGTGGCAGACATTGACAGACTAACAATATACTCAGCAATGAATAAAGATGCAATTTTTGAGTTGGAACAGTAACTAGAGCAAGCCATGAGAGGTCTCCAGCTCCCACTCCTAACGTACTTTCTCGCTGTCAAACGCTACCTAACAGTCATGTCCGCAAGTCAATAGCGTCAACCGAGAGATGGAAAAATTTCATCAATATCTTGTGATTGCCCGTAGAGGTTCCAATAATCTCAAGGGATATAATATTATAATCACAAATATTCTAATTCAAATTAGAATTAAAATTTAAAATAAATAAATTTAGATGGCTTATTAAAACACTGTGTCTTTTGGGAAAAAAAAAATTGTTCTGGATTCGCACACTGATACTACTTTTTTTCCTTTGTTTTCTATGGTCATATTTCAAGTTTTTATGGTCTTAAAAAACCTTCTATTCTTAGCTTTACAATGAATAATTTGATTTGATTATTTGTAAAAAATTATAAATGATAGGACAAAATCAAAAGTTAGGTGAAATGAAAACTATTTATTTAAAAAGATGATATTTTAATTTTTGATCTTGCTTTTTCAGTTTGTCTATAGAACCTTTTGTTTTTTAAATGTATCCTTTTATATTGTATTAATTGGTAATTTGATTTCATAATTTTGGTTCGTATTACTTTTTTTTTTCTAGGCTATCATAATCTTAAAAAAAAAATCATGACATTAGGTTCTTGAATTTGCAAAAACAAAAAGAAGATTCAATTTTGTTATTTGAGATAAATAAAAAATAAAGGGACTAAAATTAAAAATGATGTGAAATGGTAGCTTTTTTTAAGAAAATTATGTCAATGCTTGTCCAAAATCGCTCAAATCCCTTTAGTTTTAAAATTATACAATTTGATCTGAGATTTTATTTTATTTACATTCCAGTCTTTGGATTTAAGAAATAAGAAAGAGTCATTAAATTATAGTGGAAAAGAGAGAAAGTTATCATTAACCACTTGATAAGGACCGAAAATATCATTATGATGTTAATAAGTTTCATTTCATGAAAAAAATATCATTGAGGTGTTTTAACCCTTCAATATAATGGGAAAGACATATCAACCTTCGAGAATGTTTTTTAAATGAGAAATTTTTTATTTTATTTAATAATTAAACATTGTTTTAAGGTTAGATATGAGTCCATTGATGTTTATGAGTTATTTCCTATGTGTTTTCATTATCTGATGTGAAATTAGATAACTAAAGGTATATTCTATATATTTTTTTATTAATTTGTTAAATTAATTCAAAATATATTTTAGGTATTATTTTTATAAATACCATTAAAATTTAAGTTTGTTTTGGATAAGATTACAATTTTCTTTTTTTAAAAAAAAAAAAATCGAGCAAGTGTTCTTTTTTTACAAACCATCATAGTTTTTTAAGAAAAATATTTGGTTGCTTTTCTACAAGTAACTATATTTAATATCATATAATTAAATAAAATATAATTTAAAAAAACAAAGTAATTTAACTTAGATAGTCAAATAATTGGGTTGTATATTTGATAGGTAAACTTAAATTGACTTAGATCCACCTAATATATAATTATCTTGGTATGTTGAAAATAAAAATAAGTATATTTTTATATATTTTCTTTAAATTCCTTATTTTAGAAAACATGTTGACAATTATTAAATATTTTTATTTGTATATATTCAATGATTGTCTAGACAAAACTTTTTCTTGCTACATTTACGGCCATGAAAAACCTATTGGATAACTCTCTTAAAGGAATCCTAATATCTTGTTTAAATTAAAGTTTTTATTTTTCAATGCACTAATCAATTATCTTTATTTTCATTTAAGTATAATATTTTAACAATTATAGCATAACTTTTATTGTTTGATAGGTAAATTACTAATGTATCCCATCATTTAGTTATAAACTAGATATATATTTTGCAATATGTAATTGGTATGATTCTAAGTTAATTTCATATACAAGAGAAGAAGATGTATGTATTATGGATGTATTTTTTAGTATTATGATTTTTTAATTGAAAAATTAAAAGATTTTATTTATGTTTAATAAGATAAATTAAAAAAAATACCTTGAGCATCCTATAGTTAAGCTATTTTTACACTTACCCTTAGTGTTTGGAAAAATTATTTTTTATATGGTTGTTAATTATAAAATAAAGTAAATTATGATGTTACACGAGAGTAAAATTTAGAATATAAATAATAATTTTTTAAAACGAGAAAGGTAAGTGTAAAAACAATTAAATTATAGGATGGTAAAGGCAATTTTTCCTTAAAAAATATATAAATTGATAAATAAAAAAAATATTAATAGTAATTAAAAAAACTAAAAGCAATGGTAAATTCACTATGCATATAGACATATACTATTTACCATAATAATATATAGCTAAGCTTATTAAACATAATCGAATCAATGACTTGAGTCTCATATTTTTTTTTTATTTTTTTTTAGGAATGCTTGTGTTACCTTAGCATCTTTTTCTAAGTTGAAAAACTTCAATTCGACTTGCAGTATAGTACGACCCCTTATCTAATTAAATACTAAAGTCGAAAGCCAATCTTTCTAATAAAAATTAAAAAAAAACACAGTTGCGTACACAAATGTTTTACCTTATTTATCCTTTTTATTTTATCCCTTTTTATTTTATTTTTATGCTTAAAGTTAATTTTGGTTGCTAAGAACAATTTTTTTTTTTAATGTTGCATTATGCAAATACAAATTATTTATATAAAAATATAAAAAAATTATAGACAATTTTTTTAAGAAGTGTCATTTACTCTAATTCTTTTTATAAGCAGATAATATGTTGTTTGTTGGATAATTTTCCGATCAATGATTAAAAAATCAAGGTTGAGTTTTGAGATTTTTAAAACTTTTTTTTTACTTATTTTCACTTAAAAATACTTTAAAAACCTTAATAAATCCATTTTCAACATCAAAATACATTTTAATCACTCTAAAAAATGAATAAAAAAACTTTATTGGTTCTAATCAATTTTTTCTGGCATGGTTAAAGGACAACATAATCTTTGTTAAATTTCTCTAAAAAAATAGAAATTTATATACACAAATATTAATCTTTTTTGTTGATGGAAAGTGATCATATGAGCATCTTTTCTTTTCAATATTTTCCTATAATTTTTTATTTTCTATCTTAATATCCAGGACTGAAGCATAAAAAATGAGGTTTATGAGTAAAATATGAAACACGAAAATATTAGAGATCAAATAATAGATAAACCAAAACTTTAGGGAGCAAAATGAAGTTTTTTTATGGTTTTTTTTTTGCTTAAGAATTTAGTCCTTTTTTTAATTTTTTTTTAACAACAACAAAATTGATATTTAAGTTATCATCAAAATATTTATCAACACTACATATATGTGAGAGAATACCAATTGAATGAAATATCATATTAATACAATTTGAAATGATAAAATTATAAATAATTTTTTGTTATGATTGAAATAAAAAATTCATCATCAAAATATCCCTCAACATTTCATATATGTAAAAGAATATAAATCAAAAGAAATACCAACATATAAAACCATGTTAATACAACATGAAAAAAATAAAACTATAAATAAAAAAAATTGACGTTGGAAATAAAGAAAACATGAATTGTAATGAAATATAAATAATAAAAGAGTTAGAAAAGGAATGTAATATTATAAATTTGTATACTTGAAGCAACAATGTGTACTATTTTGAGGGACTAGAACGTTCGGTCAATCTTAATTTATATAAACATAAAATTATTTTTTTATTAAATAAAAAATAAGATCTGAAAAATAATGTATTTTATTAGATTTTTTTTATCTTTTGTATGTATATATTTGCAGAAAAGAAAACTAAGTTCGCATAAAATTGAAATTTTATGATAAAAGGGCACTATAGGTAATATTCCTATAAAATAAAATTGTAAAGTATGTTCAATATTGTGGTATTTTTTATGATTATAATTTGAAAAAAAGTTATTTTATAAAAAAATATTTTTTATTGAGGTTGATTTGATATTTATATATATTTGATTAAAATTATGATTGAAATTAAGGTGAAACAAAAAGTAATTTACTGTGTTTGGTTAATAATATTTTTCAAATTGAGGTTATAAAATAACTAAAAAGATATATATATATATATATATATATTAATATTAACGGTTTTTAATTTAAATATTATATATTTAACTACTACTATTACATCTTAAAATAAATAATATTTTATATAAAATATTTTTTTTATTGTTCTATTAAACTATTTATAATTCTATGATATACAAAATTTATCTGACAAAAATTACAGTTTTCATGATTTCTTAAGTGCACAATAAAATCAAATAAAATATCATTAAGAACAAAATTGAGATTATGATTAAATTTTACACATACTATGCCATCATGCAATCTCCTTCTAATTTATATAATTTCATTGAATAATATTAAACACTAGTTTTTTTAATAAAACATAATTAAAAATAAAAAAACTAGAATCTTTTACCAGGTTAAATCCAATCCAAAACATTTAGGTTTGAACCATATCTAATCTGATCATGAATAGTAAAGATGTTATTTACTATTCATGTGAATTGTGTAAGTAAATTTCACTTTATATTGTTCACTTTTATAAAATAAACAGTATAGAGTATATTATAATTCATTCTGCACTTCTCATGAAGCAACTTAAAGTTATTTTTAATTCACCTGTATTTTTTACACAAAATTAACTAGGTCCACAAATAATAAACAATATTTCATATTTTATCAAATATACATTTTTTGTGATTTGTTTTAAAAATATAAATAACTAAAAAAACAAACACTCTTTAGCTTCATGTAAAAATACATGTATTGTACACGTAGTTGGATGGATGAATTATATAAATAAATTTGTATTGATAAATTAATTATTGTGTTAATCATTCAATTGACATATTAATAGTCATTTTAACACAATGATAATCACTTTATTAAAATTATTTATATAATTAAATATTTTTAAAATTGGCTAGCTCAAATCCAAATAATCCAAGATTAAAAATGAATTAATTTAAAAAAATAAAAAAAGATAAAAACTCAATTAACCTGGTTAAAAAATTTAAATTAATTTGGTAAAATCTAATTAAAAATCCAGATATAATCCATTAAATTTTTTAATAAAAATAATATTATTTTATTTTTTAAAATATAAAAAATTAAAAGTTAAGCAAGAATGATATAATAATTTAATCAAAAGCTGTGATGTAAACATTGAGTCAAATTTAAAAATCATACATAAAATGCTTATATATAAAAAAATATTACTTATAATAATAATAAAAAAAGTAAATAAAGTATGAGATTAAAATCATGTTTGTTTTTATATTTTAAAAGTATTTTTAAAATAATTTAAATTTTTTTATTTCAAATTAATATATTTTTAATATATTAATATCAAAAATAATTTTTTTAAAATAAAAAATATTTTTTTAATATATTTTTATATAAAAAATATTTCCAAAAACAAATACAAGCACGATTACAGTCACCAAACATTCTATAAAACTTGAAGCGTAGACAATTGTACTATTTTTACGCTTCCATATACTTCTAGCAAAAGATCAGCTACAATGGGACAAGAAACAGAAGATTCACAGAAGCTTAAGAGAATAGCGGCTGCTGCTTATGATTACGACAACGACCCTAGATGGACTGATTACTTGTCCAATATTCTCATCCCTCCTCACTTGTCTTCTCGCTCTGATGTTCTAGATCACTTCAAGCGCAAGTTCTACCAACGCTATATCGTCCGTACAATCTCTCTCTTTTCTTTTCCTTCTCACTTTTATTGGTTTTAGCTCTTGATTCTTGGGATGTGGAATAGTGGGTTTCAAATGGGTCTTTTTTTTTTTTTGTTTTTTTTGGGATTGGAATCTTGTTTACTTGATTTTCTACCACTATAATCTTATTAATATTGCATGTATTCAGTATTGTGAATTAATCCAACCTTTTCATTTTGTTTAATTTACTTATCAGGTTTGGTTCTGTTATTGGTAGTACCGGTTTCTTGATTCTTGGTTATGCGTATAAGCCAAATATCAAAGTTTGGATTTTGGTTGAAATTGTTAATGGGTTTGGTTATCTTTTGTTGCTCTGTTTGAAATTTTGGCTTTTAATTCTTGAGAATCTTAGGATGTGTTGGTTTGATTGAATAATTCACATTTTTTTACAAATGAGATTTTGTGATACGATGGATAGAGTATTGCTATGTCATTTGATGACATTTGCAATGTTACTTTTAAGATTTTGTAGTATGTTCGTATTACTGACTAATTGCGTATACATGCCTGCTATGCACCCTGTTGAAGAAAGAAGATAGTCAGGAAGAAGAGTGGGTTAGTTAATAAAAAATTAGCAGGAGCTATACTGTTAGGAAGCACATTACCCTATATGGAACATAAATTCTGCTGGGAATAACAAAAAGAGAATTATGATGAATTAAGTTTCTTCTTCTCTCCCTTTCTTCTTCTGTTTTTTTTTGCTTCTGTCATTGCTACCATTGATTAGCAGGACTTTCCTTGCTGATCTCTGCACTAATAATCCCTGGATGCTATCTAAGTAGGAGCTGTGGAAATCTAGCTCACGCAAGTGGTATCAAAGCTCATTGTCTTCACATCAGTGGAATGGCTCTTGACACTCGATTTCAAGACTTGAAATGACTGGAGGATTCTCTCGAATCTGACATAGATCAAGCCCAAAAATATGAACACATGGTGAAGATATTGAATTCTTACAATAAAAAACTAGAGAATACTACATCCAACCATGAAGTTTGATTGGATGAACTGAAGGACCTCATTAGTGGTCTATCCTATCAACAAATATCTATATTGCAGACTCTACAATGGACTGTTGGTGAAACCAGCTCTACTAGGGAGAAGCTGAACCCTTACACAGAAGATTCTGCAACCAAAACTTGCAAGTCGTGTGAAGAAAGGCAGCACTGCTACAGATTGCACAAGCCAAAACAAGATTTCCATCCCTTTGATGGAGAGGATGTACATGAATGGTTGTACAAATGTAATCAATATTTTGATATGGAAGATGCTGAAGTTGGCTTCTTACCATCTAAATGGTAAAGCCTTGTATTGCCATCAAAATTATATCAGGAGTTCGGGAGGTCAGGGTATACCATGGGAAGAGTATGTGGAGGCTTTATGTGCCAAGTTTTGGGGGTCAGAAGGACCCATTGGAAGAGCTGATGGACCTGAGGCAGACTAGAAATCGTGAAACCTACATATAAGATTTTGATGTCTTGTGTAACAGAGCTGAGATGAACGTGAAATGAGCCATTGTCTTCTTCATTGGAGGGCTAGAGGTGGAGATAAAGAATATAGTTAAAATGTTTGAGCCAAAAACACTAAAACAGACCTACAACCTGTTCATCTACAAAACAGAACTCTATCCTTAGAACATCACACCCCACACAAATCAGACACTACACTCAAACCACCCTACAGACCACCCAAACAAAACCAATCATTCCAGAACCCTTTGGAGAACCTAAACCCACCAAACAACCCTGCCTTAAAATAGCTCCAAGCTGGGTTACTACCTACTCAAATTACACCTACAACCCAAATTCCAAACCTACCAAATGACTAGGAACCAAGGAATTAGAAGATAAAAGAGCCAAGGGCCTATGCTTTTGGTGTGATGATAGGTTTATACCTGGTCATAGATGCAAGAACATGCTTTTAGTGTGATGATAGGTTTATACCTGGTCATAGATGCAAGAACATGCTTTTAGTGTGATGATAGGTTTATACCTGGTCATAGATGCAAGAACATGCTTTTAGTGTGATGATAGGTTTATACCTGGTCATAGATGCAAGAACAATAAACTATATTCATTATGCATAGTGGAAGATGAAGAAGGTGATGAAGATGCTGATGATGAGGTGGAAGAAAATAAACCAGATACCATTACTCCACTCATTTCCATCAATGCATTGGAAAGAACAATGGGGTTCCATACGCTAAGGGTCACTGGCAGAAGGGACAAACATTAAGTGTTCATTCTGATTGGCTCAGGTAGTATTCATAACTTTTTTAAACATTGAATCAGCAAGGAAGTTACAATGTGACTTGTTATCAATTAAGCATTTAACAGTTGAGGTAGCCAATGGTAGTACTATGAGTTGCACTGCAATGTGTAAGGACTTCAAGTAAAAGATGTAGGGGGTAAGCTTTGTGGTAGATGTTTTCATTGTTGATCTAAACAATTGTGACTGGTTGGTTTGAACCTTGAATCAAACAATTGCGTGGGTTTCTTTATTTTATAGGTTACTACAGGAAATTTGTCAAGGGCTATGAATTGATTTGTAAACCATTGACACAATTGCTAAGAAAGGATGCCTTCTTGTGGAACACAGAGGCAACGGAAGCCTTTGAGAAGCTGAAACAGTTAACGACTCAACCTCCAGTTTTGGCTTTACCTGACCTGAACAAGATGTTTGTTATAGAAACATATGCTTCAGGGAGTGGCATTGGGGCAATGTTGATATATGAGGGGCTCCCACTAACCTTCATTAACAAATCTCTAAGTCCAAGACAACAAGCTCTATCCACCTATGAAAAGGAAATGATGGCCATACATCATGCAGTTTCTAAGTGGACACTACCTTTTAGGCAGACATTTCAAGGTTCGAACAAATCATGGTATTTTGAATTATTTGATGGAGCAGAAAATCACCTTTCCCTTGCATCACTTATGGTTCCCTAAGCTATTAAGCTTGGACTTTGAGATTGAATACAAAAAGGGTAAGGATAACACTACAACTGATACTTTATCTAGAAATCCTGAGGGAGAACTGTTTACTATGGTAGTGTCATTGGTCTCTACCATACTAACGAATCTGATTAAGGCATCCTGAGGAAAGGACAACACTACACAAAGGATTATTCATGATATGCTACAGGATCCCAACTCAAACCCTCACTGTAATGTGTGAATGGTCATCTAAACAGGAAGGAAAAAAATAGCTGGTAATGATCCTGAGTTGCAAAAGAAGCTTATTGCTATGTACCATGATTCACCTATAGGGGGTCACTCTGGAGTTATTGCTACTGCTAAAAGAGTTGGGGTTTATTATACTGGAAAAGGCAATAGAGACACGTCAGGCAATATGTAAGAGAGTGTAGTGTGTGCTAGAGGAACAAAACAAAAATTGTCCTTAGTCTAGGCTTGCTACAGCCTTTTCCTATTCCACGGGCCCTTTCAATGATATAAGCATGAATTTTATTGAGGGCCTCCCTAAGTCTAATGGTAAAAGTGTCATCTATGTGGTGGTGGATAGATTCAACAAGTATGTTCATTTCATAGCCCTATCACATCTCATTCTCTGTTGTGACTGTAGCCACTGATTTCATGGATAATGTGGATAAGTTGCATGGGTTTCCAGCTACCATTGTCAATGACAGGGACCCTGTGTTTCTAAATCAGTTATGGAAGCATTTATTTGGCCAACAAAGGGTTGAATTGCATTTCTCTACGGCCTATCATCCCTAGATTGACAGCCAGACAGAAGCAGTCAACATATGTCTAGAGACTTATCTGAGGTGCATGTCAAGGGCTAATCCTAGTCAATGGTCCAAATGACTATATCTAGCTGAATGGTAGTACAATACCCATTACTATGCTTCTACTGAGTCCATTCCATACGAAATACTCTATGGTTATGAGCCTCCTATCCATATCCATTACTTGCCAAAGGATTCTAATATTGAAGCTGTGGATGCATTCCTTATACAAAGGGTAAACATGTTGAATTCTATAAAACCTAATCTCAACGTGGCACAATAAAGGATGATCCAACAAGCCAATAAGAAAAGAGGTGAAAGAGCTTTCGCTATAGGTGATTGAGTCTACCTTAAATTGCAGCCATACAAGCAGAAGTTAGTAGTCGCAAGAAAATCACATAAGCTTTTACCTAAATTTTATGGTCCCTATCAGGTAATTGACCGTATTGGGACTGTGACTTATAAGTTATTCCTACCTCCTACAACCCCAATCCACCTAGTAGTCCATATCTCTATTAAAGTAGCATGTGGGTTGTAAGAAAGTGTATGGAGATTTAACTGATGAGTTGCATGATGAACCAGCACCACAAGCTCAAGCAATACTGGATGGACAAATAGTGAAGCATCAAAATTGTGCGGCCACTTAAATCCTGATCTTATGGAAGACTTCGCATCCAGCCAACACCACTTAAAAGTTTTGTGATGAGTTCTCTCTCTGAGGTTTCCCATATTTTTCCTTGAGGACATGGGTAATTTCATGGTGGGAGAATTGTTATGCACCCTGTTGAAGAAAGAAGATGGTCAGGAAGAAGAGTGCGTTATTTTATAAAAAAGTAGCCGTCACAGCTTTTAAGCCATAAGAAACGCAGCGTTTGGCTTACCTTTGCAACGCAGTGTTTTGTGTCTGTTTTAATTTCCCTTGTACACATTGTTTTATTAGTAGACAATTATAACTGTTGCCACCAGTTGGCCTAATTAGCAGGAGTGGTAGATACCAATACCAAATTTATTTTACAAAATTCTACTGGGAATAACAACAAGAGAACTATGATGAATTAAGTTTCTTCTGTCCCTTTCTTCTCATTCTTCTTCTTCTCTTCTCTTCCTTTTGCTCTTGTCATTGCTACCATTGATTAGCAGGACTTTCCTTGCTGATCCTTGCACTAATAATCCCTGGATACTATCCAAGTAGGAGCTGTGCAAAGCAGCTCACTGCAATGCCAAATGATGATGTGCTTCTAGTTTACTATTTCTGCTGTTTTTGCTAGTTAGAGTTTTGCTGTGCCTTTTCACGTAATATTTAAGAGGTGCTGCATATGAATTTGCTGTAGTTGATAATCGTTGTACATGTTTAATTGGCAGGACCCTGATCTAGTGGTGGAGGTGATGTCTACAAATGGTTCGTCTCAGTCAACAAACCCATCTGCATCATCCTCTTCATCATCAACCCTTTCAGATGGCCAACCTCAAATACGCAACACAGGTTGGAAAGTCTGTTCCATTTTTTAATTTAATTGAAATGAAGAGAACCACATGAATTTTTTTTTGTACATATATACAAAAGTCAAGTTCACTATCTTGTTATTGGTCTGTCATTTTGCTTCTTTTATAAGATTGAGTCTTTGGACCAAATTTGTTATGCTGTAGGGTCAACTGCTAGAGCATCTGGACCATCAGCAACTGCAGGTCAAAATCCAACCTCTGTGCACTTGTATCGACAAACCATACAATTTTCTGTCAATGCTTGGGTAGAGTATTCTTTTCCCTCATATGCTTGCATGTGTAATACTTGAAGGATAGATCTTGTCAAATGTGTTACATATTTCTATTTGTTTATGGACAATAATTTTCAGTCTTTTCATTTTTATTGCTTGCTGTCTTCATTTGCAAGGAATGGAAAATTACAAAACTTCATATGCACTCTATGCCTTTTGTTTTGGGTGTTATATTGTATACTTTGATCACTACATGTAAGATAGAGGATCAGCAATTGACCAGAGATTATCTAGTATATCAATTATATAGAAATCCTTAGAGGTGAGAGGGGATTATTCTCCCTGAAATGTGATCTATTTTTTACTCCTTCAGCAAGTTCAAAAAAAACTTACTTGAGAAACAGCCCATAATGAGTTTTCCTGTATTGATTATACACCAATTCCAGCTAATCAGCTTGACTACCCAAGTAAAGCTCACAGCTCCATTCACAACCTTCTGAAATTCTCTAGCCTGTTAGGTGTGTAAAACTAGATGATGAACAGATTCAGCTGAATATTTGTGCATAAGCCATTCATCTTTTACTTGCTTGAACTTTACAAATATCCAAATCCATCTTTTGAATTCCTAAGAACCGCGTGTTTTGTTCTTTGTTTAGGTAGTTACTTGAACTCCTTGAATTACTAGTAAAGTTTTGATCAGACAGGACCTCAATTTTGGTTGTACACATTTTTATGGAGCAGCTTTCATCTGATGGAATTATTTCACTTATTTGAGATTCGCCAAAAGCTGGTTCTGACTGTAGGAGCTCTTCATTGTAAATGATTAGCTACCTCCTTCTCCACCCACCCTCCTTTTGCCTCTTCCCATCTCCTGGGTAACATTTCAGGGTTGATGGACTAAAAAACTAGATTGAGTTGGTTTCCTGAAAGAATTAAGAAAAGAACAGAAACTTCTGAGTTTTCCATCTGCAAGCCTCAGGCATTGTGGCCATGGTCCTGTCAGCTTTGCACATACCTTAGAGCCACTAATTTTCTAAAACCGGGTAACTATTCCTGATTTTGGATTGAAGCTTTACAGGGATGCATTTTATAATTATCAATTAATCTTAACTCTTCAGCCTGTATGAACTTTGGTCAAAACCCCAAAAAATATGAATACATTCAATTTATAAGCCTCTGATAAACATTCATCCCATACCTGGAAACTCAACAGTTCCCTTGTCTTGTAAAATTAATTAAACCCAATTTATATGAATCAAGTCTCCTGTAGTCTTATTGGAAATAATGAGAAAGCCTTGACTTCTGAAGGGCTCCATGTGGCTATCCTGAATACATTTCTAGCAAAAATTTGGGATGTCTTGATTTTAATTTTGGCTTATTTCTGAGCCTTGTTTCCCTTGAATCTCTGGGAATAATATGTTATTCATTTTTTTAGTCTATAAACTGTCATAGAAAACACTGAAATCCTGAATCAAGTGTGGCAAGATTTGTTAGGTTCTTCCAGAAAGTAAGAATGAGATAAGAGGACAGGGGAGGGTTCTGGTTCTTGTATTCTATCCAAAGAAGGGTTGGGAGTAACATGTTCTTCTTCTTCTTCTTCTTCTTTTTCCTTGAGGATGGGCTTTAAGTTTCTGGTATAAACTACCTGTTAATCGGTGGTAGAGAACTAAAGATTTTTACCCACAGGTTTTGATGTATCTCCTTGTAATCTGGGCTATCTTCTACCCTTATTGTACATTCAATTCAGTATATATTTCTCATAATATGCTTCTGTCCTTGCCTGCAGGTTTTTGTTGTGGCTGTGCTTGCAATCATTCCCCTTGCACCTAAAAATCTTTCAAGTAGGGCATATCGACTGTCGTTTATGGGCACTGCATGCTCGTCTATGTATTCCTTGTACACATTATATGGGGTAACCTGAAATGCATATGCTTTTCAGTTTGTTTTTCTATCCTATAAGTCATATTTTTCAGTGTCGTCTTCCTTTTATTACAGTTATTCTTCACTAACCAGGTTTGTGTCTTTTGTAGAGACCCAGAGCATGGAACTTGCAGGGCATTCAAGTTTACTTGCAGTCAATAATTGCAACCAAAGATTTTATCTGCTTCATCTACTGCCTTACATTTGTTACTTCACATCTTTTCCTCAAAGGTGAGCATTAATTGGCTTCTAATTTCTTATTCTGGCTTTACGTTTTTTAGTCAATAATTTTCGAATTCCAATTTTCCATTAACTGGCCCATTTCTGTAGCTCAGTGTTTATGTTGAGTACTGATGTTGACCATTTTAACAGTTGCTTTAATTCCCATTTTGTGCCGATCACTGGAGCATGTTGCCAAATTCTTGAGGCGTAACTTCAGCCGTTCCACCTTGTACAGGTAGAAGAGATTTGTGTTTTCACATCAATGAATGCACGGATATTTAGTTTCAGTAGTTTGACTGGCATGAGTTTCTATGGTTATTCCTTAAACTGGTCAAGTGGTCATGGACCTTCAAATGATTAGCATTTGACTGTGAGTTGATTTGTTGTTACTGTTGTTTCATCTTTATATTAGTTTCTTAACTTATGAAGTTGTGGCATCTATCTTGTAATTCATCGTTTTTCTTTTCTTCTTGAAAAGTTTGTGTTTGGTTTCACAGGAAGTACCTTGAAGACCCTTGTGTATGGGCGGAGTCCAACACGACTAACCTCAGCATTCTGTCCTCTCATACTGAAATTGGGCTTGGCTTCCTGTTAATTGTCTCCTTGTTCTCGTAAGTTGTTAAACCTATTCCCTTCCTTTTGATCTGACCTTTTTTTCTTTTTGGAATAATAATCATGGTTTGATGAATGCAGCTGGCAACGCAACATAATACAAACATTCATGTACTGGCAGGTAAATTACTTTCTGATCATGCAATATTGTGATGAATTAATTTCATTGTTGAAAATGTAAACAAATTCCCCTTTTCCTCTTTTTTTTGGTGGGGTGGATCCAAATAGATATTTGTTTGATCAATACGGACATGCATGTGGACCCATTCCTGTTGGGAAAGCAGGGAAACAATCACTCATGCATTTGAACTGAATCAAAGTTTTGATGAAAATTGATCTTTTCAGAAGTGGAGTGCTTGTATAAGCACCTTATTATAGTGGTGCAATTTAAGAAATGAAGGCAAAAAGTAGATTAGAGAATATCTATGCATACACTTAGGCAAATGTGTTCCTCCTATTTAATTCACGGAAATTTCCTGGGATTGTGAAGGTGAAAACTTATGAAATTGAACAAGTCCGCCAAAGAATTTGGAGCCAGATTGAAAAGCATTGTTCCTGCAAAAATCAAAATGCTTGAAGCAAACTATGAGAATTTGATGCTATGAATTTGTTGTCTTGAGCTGGTCAAATGAATAACGTGCTACTACTTTTAGGTTCTGCTCCAATGTATGTTTAAATGGTGATTGGTAGGGGGGGTTCAAAGTGTTTCCACGGGACACTAAAATTTGCTCTGTTGTGTTTGGTGGGTGAGATACGCTTGCTTCCAGCTAAGAAAATAGATTGAGTTATCCCTTTTGGTACAAAATTTCACTAAAGATTCTTAGGAACATTTTCAGCTAAGAAATGGTGGCATCCCAGTGATCTTTAGAGTATTTTAGGTGCATGACCTAACTAAGCCTTTCTTTCTTGTTTTTCAAATTTTTTCTTAACAGCTATTGAAGCTCATGTATCATGCCCCTGTGACTGCTGGTTACCATCAGAGCGTGTGGGCTAAGATCGGAAGGACCATCAATCCTCTTGTCCACCGCCACTGCCCATTCTTGAAGACTCCACTTTCTGCTGTTCAAAGATGGTGGCTTAGGTAAATGTGTGGCCAACGGGAAAGGAAGAAAGAATCATCTGAGATGGTAGTTTCATTCTTCGGAAGAAAAAACCAAAGCTGGATGGATAAATCTTTACCGTTAATCTCAAATGCCCTTTTCCATTCCCTCTCCTGTCCGAGTAGACGATCAGAAGGTTCTCATATTAATACATTAGATATTGCTCTATTTCACAGATTATATAGATAGAAAGGAGAATGTATTAGAATTTTACTTGGCCTTCTTAAATTATTGCTTGCATCAACACGCTTGGTAGCCAAACCCATCCTTTGCTGTAATGGCCGGTGTGTGAAAAAAATTAAAAAAATTGATTAAACTGGAAAAATAAAAAATTAAAAAAATGAATTAAAAAAACCTAATAAATGGATTAAAGGGTCGGTTTTTAAAATCTTAAACCGATTGAATTGAATTGAATTGGTTTAATCAGCATCTAAATTCAATGTAAATGGAAACCCTAGGCCTAAACTTTACAGTCCCTCAGGTGTCAGCTGTCCCTTCTCTCCTAAGTATCTTTTAAGTTGCTCCCCTTTCTCTCTCACCTCTCTTCTGATTTAATTCTTTAATTTTCTTTAATTTTTCAATCAAAACTCAAGCTTTAAAATAATTATTGTCAAAATCTTCAACACCAGTGCTATCCTCAATCTTTTACTCTTCCATACTATATTTGTCTTGACAGGTGAATATTTCATCGTTATTATTTTTAAATAACACATAAAGAAATAGAAATCTTCTTTTGCTTAAAACAGGTGTTTTTTCCACATGTTTTTGCATAAAAGGAACCTGTGCTTCTTTTATCTGTCTTGGTTTCATGGATTTTTTAGGCTGTTTTGCCTTTTCTACGAGTGGATGGAAATCTTATTAGTTAGGATCATTATTTTACACTTGTATATAGTTGAAATTCTTACCATTTAGACTAATCAATTTATCTTCACTTTGTTTTCATCAACTTGCTTTAACATGAAACAAAACTGGATTATATTAATTTTTTTAATTATTTTTAATTATTCAAACTGTATTGAAAATGATTGGTTTGAACTAGTTTTAATTTAATTTTAATTTTGATTTAAAAAATAAAAATTTAATTTGAGTAACTTATTAAATAAAAATCAAAACGAACAGCAAAATAACGATCCCTTATACTCGTAATACTCATTAAATGCAGCACTCCTCGATTAGCTACTGGGCTGGTGCGGCGAGAGAAGGCTAGCAGGGTTGTTGTTGGCGGGAAGAAGAAAAGAGCTGTTGGCTGTTAAAAAGCTGTTAAAAAGCTTATTCATGCCTTAATATTAATAATGATGATTTCGAGCCTTTGGGCTGTGCCATGTTATTTGGTCAATTATAGATGCAGGTGTTTTTTTTTTTTTTTCAGATTAATATGAAAGTTTGGATAATTTATATATATTTTGATTAATTTTATAAATCTTAAAATTAATAATTATATAGATTTTTAATAACTTTAAAAATTAATAATTTCTACAAGTAAATATAAAATAAATTTGATGAGTTAAACTGTATTTTTACCATTAGGTGAAACTTTATAGAGTTGTTACTAATATTGACAGGAGCAGGTTGAAACCATTTCAAATGGCTTAGCTGTTTAGGGAATTTACATATGTATTCTCAAAAGAAAGTTTAAAGATCAGAGAAGAAATCTTAATTGAGTTGGTTCTATTCAAATTAGAACATTATATGATTTTTAGGTTATAACTGAACGGATTCAGGTGTGATTTAACTTAACAAAAAGCTAATATGTAGAAATAAAATATTCATGAAGATCCAAAGACTAAATACTATTGTTTTTAAGTTCAAATCTTAGCAATAAAATAAAAATTTGAATATGCCCCATAACCTAAACACTGTTTGATGTTCAACTTATATCTGGAGTTTTAGATACCTAAATAAATATGTTAGTTTTGGGTTGGAAAGATGAGATATTTATCTACAACTTTCATGAAAATTATCTATTCATATTATAATGTTATAAATGATGTTTTGTTCGATCACCAAATCAATAGTTAACCACAATATAAATAGTTCTAAATTTAGTCTATAAAAGAAAATATTTGTCATATATTTAGACATCTTGATTTTTATATCAAGATTCATGCTCTTGTTTTTTTATTTGAATTTTTTATAATATGCAAGTTTTATTTCATGTTATATTCTTGTTAATTTCTTGTTTATACTTATCATTTTCTTTATTATACTTGGTTAATTTATATCATAGCTATATTCTTTTCTTGTTTATTTATGTTTTTCTTCTTAATTATATTTAGTTAAGTTTATTTTTGTTAAGGTGAAAATGTTACATTAATAGTGTAAATAATATAAACTTAACATGGACTTTGATGTTTAAATTTAAGAAAGTTTGCTATTAATATGTGTTATAATTGTAATTTTAATCAATCTTAACACCTTTCTTATTAATTGGTGAGTTTTGATTTGTGATGTATAATTATTGACAAAATAAATACTTGATTTTTTCATATCCTGCTCAAGGAGAACCAACACCTATTGTTGAAGATTCTGAAGTAATTAAGGTAGATTTGAAGCTGATTTGTTGGGAGTAAAAACAGAAAGTCAGATATCCTTTCCTATAAATTAGAACCTAGCAATAATACCTATTTATGTGTAGTTAATAGCTGTCCTAATATAGATATTTAGATGCTGTATATATTCAACAATTCATTATGAAATAAAGAGAGAAGTCAGAATTTAACAACTCTCCATATGGTATCAGAGCCTAAACCTAGACTATATTTTTAGCCTATCTCTCTTTACATCAGAGTCTAAATCTAGGATTCCTCCTCTCCCATTCCCATATGTCCTGACAATTCTAGTCACTTGCTCTAGCAGACCTGTCCAGATCTGAAAAAACATGTCTGAAAACACTACAAAAGAAACTCAAATATCAGGGGAATTCCAAAGTTTACAGTCATCCTATAGACTGAATGGAAGAAACTATCTAAAGTGGTCACATATAGTAAAAACTTTTCTAAAAGGAAAGGGAAAGATTAATCATTTAATGGACAATCCTCCTAGTCCAGAAGACCCAAAGTTTACACTTTGGGATGAAGAAGACTCCATGATTATGTCATGGCTATGGAACTCTATTATGCCAGAAATTTATGGGCCTTATATGTTTCTGGTTACAGCAAAACATATGGGATGCAGTGAGACAAACCTACTCTAAAGTGAAGGATGTTGCGTTAATCTATGAGATTAAGATGAAGCTTTCAATGACCAAACAAGGTAATATGATGGTTATTGAATATTACAATACTATGAAAAGTTTCTGGTTGGAATTGGACTATTATCAGGATTTTAAGATGCAGTGTAGTGATGATGCTGTGATTTTAAAGAATTATGTAGAAAGAGAAAGGATCTTTGAATTTCTTGCAGGACTCAACATAGAATTTGATCAAATGCGAGTCCAAATACTTGGAAAGGAATCCCTGCCCTCACTCAATGAGGTATTTTCAGTAATAAGAGCTCTGCCCTCACTCAATGAGGTATTTTCAATAATAAGAGCTGAAGAAGGAAGGAGAACTGTGATGCTTGAGGTCCCAAATACTAAAGGTTCTGCTATGATGATAACTAATAGAAAAAACCTAAGTGATGCTAGCAGAAACCAAAATGATGT